GTTGTTGATATTGCTTAAAAGATGCTCCCTGCCCTTCGGAGTTGTGTGAATATTGAGCCTTAATTCTCTGTCTCTTATTTGAAGACATAACTAATCCTTTAGTCACATACTCAAATCCTCATTGTGAGTTGGGTTTGAAGCAAGACCTCCTTTGACCTGCCTGGTGTTTATCAGTATGCTGCATTGTAGCATCCTGTATTAATTAAGAATATTTTAGTTGTAAGTGACAAAAACCTAGCTTGAAGTCGTATTTTTAGAAAAGTAATTTATTAACTTTCCTAAACAAAATGTGAAGGGTTAGATGTGGAATTTGCACTGGGACAGCTGCATCTTGCATTTTTCATTGCACCAGCTGCATTTCCTCCCCATCTGGCTTTCTGTGGGCTGTGCATAGGTGCCCCTAGGCAGATCCAAGTTCTTACAGTCAGAGGTGAAAGAGAGCTCTATTTCTTGCAGCTCCAAGTAGAAAAAATAAAAGTCCAGAAGGGATTGGATTAGCTTGGGGTACATGCCCAACCATGGACCATTCCCCGATTCTCTATGGCCAGGGGATGGAGTACCATGTTTGGCATCACACAAGTAGGGGAAGATGCTGTTGTGATTGACACCTCCACACACAACGTCCTTGTTGGAATGGAGGAAGAAAGTTTCCCAAATAGGAGATTCAGTGGGTTTGGCAATTGTCAGTCTCTCCTCTGACTTTTGCATGATTGTCTTTGTGTGACTTCTGTCAGCTGAGACACTCAGAGAGACACTCGGAGGAATCTCTATCAGCCCATACAGAGTCAAGGTCATTGCCTTTATTTTTAGTCCTTGTTTCCTTCTACTTCACCCACTGCTGAGAAGGGCTTGAATCTTTTGGCCTTTGTTCCCAGGGCGCAAAGGAGAAAGAGGTCCTGATGGGCCTCCTGGATTTCCAGGCCAGCAGGGACAACACGGTCAAGATGGATATGCTGGAGAAAAAGGGGACCCAGGACCCCCGGTGTGTATAATCTCGTCCTGCTACAGAGCTTCATTCCTTATATGATCATGAATCATCTATTTCCCCTTCTCAATTGTTTAAAAATCATGTTTCATTTTCATGGTGTTTGTTTTCTTCTGAGGCCCCTGTACCTACAAAGCCCCTCCCGGCTTGAATTCTGCTCAGTTGACTCTGTAGGGTGGAGGATAGCGCACAGGTCCTGATAATTCCTTTAGTTCAGTTCCCCAATGAAGAAGCACATGATGGGACGTGACAAGCGAAGAAGGATGGTCTAGTACAAATCCACTGGACGGACGTTGTGGCTCATGGAAGACCCCACTGATAAATGATATTTCAGCATTTTTCAAATATGTTTTGGGTGGAAACCATGTGTAGGGAATGAAGTTCGTAAGAAAAGATTCAGAGACATAGTGCAATGTTTAGGAACTCAGAGTATCTTGACGTACAAATTATTTTTGAATGCTTATAATGCCGCAGAAACTCAGCTAGACGTTTTACTTGTAGCAATTGTCTTCCAAAGAGCAGTTATCTTTCAGATTTTACAGTAAGCAAATGGACGCTTAGGGTATGTTACTCAAGGTCAACTATGCATCAAGCAGGCTAAACAGGCGTGAAAACCCCAGTCTGCCTCATTCCAAAGTACATCCTGTTTCCGGTAGCTACTGCTACCTGCCTCTGTGAGTGCTGTGAAAAGGAAGGACCATGTTCTGATTCTATAGGAACCTCTTCTGATGAAATACACATGAATAAGAGACCGAAGTTGGGAAATCGGATTAGATGGTGTTTCTAGCTTTCTGGCCTTTCAGCTCTGATATCAAGTATGTAAAAAATCTTCCCTGCTTTAGACTTGGTAATCCTTGTTTAATTCATTCTCCCACTGAAGAAACTACAGTAATCCCCCCTTATCTGCAGGAGATAAGTTCCAAGACCCCTGGTGGATGCCTGAAACCGCAGATAATACCCAACCCCACGTATACTGAGTTTTTTCCTATACATACATACCTATGATAAAGTTTCATTTATAAATTAGCCACAGTAAGAGCTGAACAACAACTAAGACTAAAATAGAACAGTTTAACAATACACTATAATAAAGGTTATGCGAATGTGGTCTCTCTCAAAATATCTTATTGTACCAATTGAATGCCTTTTCTTTCTTAACTAAGCACTTAAGCGCTGTGCCTTCACTTTTGCAGTCTGAGGCTCGACAACAAAAGTAGCACAGATTTCTTTTTTGCTTCTTCACGATTTCACGGATATAAAACTCATTCTCACCACAGATCTTAGCAACCTCAGCATATGATTTTTTTTTCCTTAGTAAGTCAAGAACCTGCAATTTTTTATTTAAAGGAAGCACTTGACAGCTCTTTTTGACATATCCAGATTGCCAGCATCACTCCTCTTGTACTTTGGGAACACTATTAAGTAAAATAAGAGTGACTTGATGGCAATCCCTGAGGTTCCGTGGCAGGCGATGTGATAACCGGGGTGCTGCCAAGTGACTAACGGACGGATGTGCTGGGCAGAGGGATGGTTCGTGTGTCTAGTGAGATGGAGCAAGAGGGCCTCATCACACTACTCAGAATGGAGCGCAGTTGAAAACTTATGAATTGTTTGTTTCTGGAATTTCCCTTTTAATATTTCTAGCCTACAGTTGACCACGGGTAATTGACACCTGGGAAAGTGAAACCATGGATAAGGGGGCGCTGCTAGACTTAGAAACCAGCGCCACTGAGCGGTAATAGTCATCATGCATTAACCGAATTGTAAAAACTCCAAGTGTATTTACAGATCAAACTGGGAGAGGAATTCCTTTAACACCCACTGGGTGGGGGGATCTGCCTAGATTCACTGAAACAGTCCAGACTCACAAGACTATCACAGACCACGTTCGGGACCAGGCCACTCAGGACAGAAGGCGTGACCTTCAACTTGCGAGCGGGCCAGGCAGTGTCAGCTGTCTCTTAGTCTCAAGGCTCCCAGCAGCTGTTCCTTCAGCTTGGGTGAGGTGATGCGATCCACACATGCAGAAGTGTGAGCAGCCCCAACTTGACAGCCTCATTACTCCCCAGAGCTGTCATCTCCACAGCACCGCTTGCAGGACCCCACAAGGAACTGGCCAGTTACAGGAACCCACACTCTAGGAAGCCCCAGCAAAGGCGCCACACTGGTCCTTATAGTTCTTTCAGAACAGATGCAGGTTTTGCAGCCAGAGATTAATTTTACCATGAGCAATGTTGTCTCATAATGCGGCTGACATCCAATTTTTGTGCAGATTCCAGACCAGAACTAGACCGTTAACCAAAGGTCAGATTCTTATGCAGGAGGAGAAAGGACTTGTCAGCCTTTGGCCCACAGACATGGAGGGGCCTCGAGTCTATCTCTGTTATCTTCTCAAAAGAATGCAGAAAACCTGTCTCTAATACACGAGAACTGACTCAGTTTGTAAGCTCACTACCTCCCTTAATTTATGTATCTCTCTATTTTATTATATTTGATAATGGTTCTACATAAATTTTCTTATTCTGTATTTAAGACAAAACACACAAAACTTTCTATATTTGAGGCGTAACACACGAACCCCAAGAATATATGGATGTACGTAACTATATGTGTAAATATGAAGAGGGATCAAAGTTAATCATTTTAAATTACATTTGCTATTAAGTAACTTCTGGAGTTACTGGCTTTCTGCATGCATTTCTGTAGCCTACAATGACAATGATGGCTTTGCGTTCATGGACTTTCAAAGATTGGTAATTGACTCATGATGCTAATGTTCCCAGGGGGATCATGAAGATGCAGTCCCGGGTGATAAAGGACCTCCTGGACCACCGGGCCCCCCGGGGAAAACAGGACCCAGGGGGCCTCCAGGACTGGGATTCCCTGGCCCACCAGGGGAGAAAGGGCCACCAGGAGCTCCAGGCTTCCCGGGCGAGAGGGGTCCTGATGGCCAGAAGGGTCAGAAAGGTAATTTTGAACGTTTTTGTGGCAGAATGTCAAGTGAAGTCCTGGAAACTAAAGTAAGCCTATCGTCTGGGCAAAGTTATTACATCTAAGGCAGAACCTCTAAATATAATTCCATCAAGCTACTGTTGAAACCTTGAATGTTGTCAAACGAACGAGCATTACCGCACAATAAATATATAAAACAAACCTGTAAAATGCTAAGATGTGTTTGCTGTTTTATTTGTTTGGCAAACTGCCGTGCATTCATTTCTCAGTATCAACATGGACAATCTGATTGTATTAAAATTACATACATGTATATTTAACATCTCTCATTTTTATAATCTTTTGAGAGAATACAATATAATTTAATAAAAATTACTGACATTTCATTTTAAAAATACAGCATTGTCCATGAAAACTCATTTGTAAGCATTCTAGGGAGAAAAAAAGAAGGGATTTTAAATATATTTGCAGTTATTTGGATTTCAAACAATAAAGTGTCTTGTAGTTTTATAGTTGAAAACTTTTTTAAATGTTGGGAAAAGATTTATTTGAGATTTTCTTTTTTTGTAATATGTACATAAACCTTGGGTTACATAGTTAATTGCAACATTTTATAATATAATCATATTTTTGGTTCTTGCTTTGACAAGGCAAATACCTTGGAATTCGATATGGTTTAAGATCATGAAATCTAACATTATTTTTATGGCTTAAGATCATGGTCTGGGACCATCAAAATCTAACATTATTTTGATCCATATGGTATGTTTTTGATTTGAGAGCATATAATGCAATACATCATGGGATGTAATTGCTATTATAAGAGGGGAACATTCCATTCTAAAGGCGAGAACTCAGAGGCACAACTTTGAAGTTTTATTTTCTTCACCAATTAAAATGAGGGATGACAAAAAACCCCACTGCAGAAGCATTACAAGAAGAGACAAGGTATTTGAAGCATGTGACACATGGCAGGTCCTAAATAAATGGCAGCTGTTGTTAATACATCTCCCAGTCTCTTCATTGCACAGTTGCCCCACGTCCAAACTAGGAGCCAGATCTCTGGAGCTCAGCGTTGGATGCTTGCTGCTATTTGACGATTTATCAAAGCTTCTGAGTCCACTGTATTGATAACCATAGATCTATAAATCCATTTTTTTGTAAGTTATTAAGCTGATATTTCTTGGAATCAAACTTTTTCTTATTCCTCTTATGCTTTTTACTATTCTGACCATTGAAGTTCAGATTTCAGAACAGATCCTGTAGGAATTCAGAATAAAAGTCGTTCAAGTCATCTAGTGGTACTTGGGAGTCGCCTTTTCCTTTGAACTCCACGTACACTGTATGTAAAAGTATCTTGACGAGTTGTCATTGAGATTCACATTGCATTGGACTGTCAATTGTGTGAATACTACTGTTTTTTTTTTTTTTTCATTCCAGGTGATACAATTCCTTGCAATGTAACCTACCCTGGGAGGCCAGGCCCTCCAGGTTTTGATGGACCTCCAGGTATGATCAAGGAGCAGTTACTGTCATACACACTCTCAAAATGAAAGAACCAGCAAGACAGATTAGACCAATAGCAAATCCTCAGGGAATTAGTTTGGCTATTTCTTTCTTTTTTTTTTTTTACTTTTTTTTTTATTGAGTTATAGTCGTTTTAGAATGTTTTGTCAAATTCCAGTGTAGAGCATGATTTTTCAGTTATACCTGAACATACATGTATTCACTGTCACATTTTTTTTTCACTGTGAGCTACCACAAGATCTTGTATATATTCCCCTGTGCTATACAGTATAATCTTGTTTATCTGTTCTACATATGCCTGTCAGTATCTACAAATTTTGAACTTCCAGTCTGTCCCTTCCCACCCCCCGCCCCCTTGGCAACCACAAGTTGGTATTCTATGTCTGTGAGTCTGTTTCTGTTTTGTATTTATGTTCTTTCTTTCTTTTTTCTTTCTTTCTTTCTTTCTTTCTTTCTTTCTTTCTTTCTTTCTTTCTTTCTTTCTTTCTTTCTTTCTTTCTTTCTTTCTTTCTTTCTTTCTTTCTTTCTTCTTCTTCTTCTTCTCTCTCTACTACGTACGTACG